CATTCAATGTATGCCTCCAATATTCGCTCTTCCTATATATATAAACATTCTTTACAAATATCTAGCTAGGGTTTGAGGGACGACTGACGAGAGATTTAGGAAGAGAGACCACTATCTATCTTGGTCTCCCACTCTCTCATAATGGCAGGATTGGTGTTATCAGGGTGCGGCATTAAACCCTTTTCCCAATCTCTTGCCATACCCACAAGAGGGTTTATCCATAAAAACGACAAGAACCCTGTCACCCTTTTACCCTCTAAGGATCCAATTGCAATCTTTTCATCAAGATCGACGACCCCAGATCGGTTTTCCAAATGGGAGGTTAAAGTGAGTGCTCCATTTAAAATACCATCGATAGATGGGGAAAATTCAGAGCGCGAAAGAGGAGAGAGAATCAATTCTGATGAAGAGATTGTGAAAGAAGAAGAGAAATTTGACGCAGGGGCACCACCGCCTTTCAAATTGGCTGATATTAGGGCTGCTATTCCGAAACATTGTTGGGTGAAGGATCCATGGAGGTCTATGAGTTATGTGATAAGGGATGTCGCTTGTGTTCTTGGTTTAGCAGCAGCTGCAGCTTATCTCAACAATTGGCTTGTTTGGCCGCTTTATTGGGCTGCTCAAGGGACCATGTTTTGGGCTCTTTTTGTTCTTGGCCATGATTGGTAATCTATAATTTCTCATCTTTCTGTTCTTCGTTTTGACTTTAATGGTCAAACTAGTCGTTTTTTAGGTTTGAAATTGGGTATGCAAATTTCTAGATGTACATCAAACAAGAATTGTTATGACATTTCATATGAAAACGACTCTTGATGACTTATTTTAGCCATCAATATAGGATTAACTATAATCAACCATTTGACTACATTAGTCAAAAGGGGGATGCTTGAATTAATGGGTTTTTGATCTTTGTTCATATTCTTAATTTGCAGTGGCCATGGTAGCTTCTCAAACAATTCTAAGCTGAATAGTGTTGTTGGGCATATTCTACATTCTTCAATTCTCGTGCCTTATCATGGATGGTATGTTTTAACTAACTCCAATTGGACCACTTCTAGTCTATTCATTATTCAATATGCAATTTTGGTTTTTAGCTCATTGACTTCTAAAAGAAGAAAATGACAAGGTTTAAATTTGATTATGATTAATTGATTATAAATAATTACTAATTGTGATTTCAAAAAATAAACGAATGTTACAGGAGAATCAGCCATAGAACACATCATCAAAACCATGGACACGTTGAAAATGACGAATCATGGCACCCGGTATGTTCTTTAGTACTTGTATTTTTTTTTTTTTTGAACTTTATTTATCAATTAATTTCCCACTTTTGTTTTTATTTATAGTTATCTGAAAAAACCTTCAAGAGTTTGGATTGGATGACACGTACACTTCGTTTCACCCTCCCTTTTCCAATGCTAGCTTATCCCTTTTACCTTGTAAGTTACAACATGATACAATTGTTGTAAATTTGTAACAAATAATTTATATATATATTTTGTTTTTTTTTTTTTTTTTTCTTATATAGTGGAATAGATCTCCGGGAAAGAGTGGGTCCCACTTTGATCCAAGTAGTGATTTGTTTGTTCCCGTTGAGAAAAAAGACGTGATGACTTCAACAATTTGTTGGACTGCAATGTTTGCTCTGCTTCTTGGTTTAAACTTTGTTGTTGGCCCAATGCAAATGCTAAAACTATATGGCATTCCATATTGGGTATTTAATATTTTTCCATTTCCCTTAATTTTATATTTCTATTTTAATTGTTGTTAAAGTTTTTACCTTCTCATTTGCTTTGATTTCAGATAAATGTTATATGGTTGGATCTTGTTACTTACTTACATCACCATGGTCATGAAGATAAACTTCCTTGGTATCGCGGAAAGGTATTTTTTATTGTTACATAATTTCATAAATTTGGTTATGTATTGTTTTTTTTGTGAAACCATAACAACTATTTAAACATAGACACTCATGATTTTTTTTTTTAGGAATGGAGTTATTTAAGGGGAGGATTAACCACAATTGATCGTGATTATGGTTGGATTAATAATATTCATCATGACATTGGAACTCATGTCGTTCACCATCTTTTTCCTCAGATCCCACATTATCACCTAATTGAGGCAGTGAGTATACATTCTAAAGATCACATGGGCTTTTCTGTAATTTTGACCATGAAGTTAAATTTTACTCAACATTTATTACTTGTTTCTCGTTTATAGACGGAGGCTGCAAAGCCAGTGCTTGGGAAATACTACAGGGAACCGAAAAAGTCAAGGGGTTTACCTTTCCACCTACTTGGTGAATTAATCTCAAGCTTGAAGAAAGACCATTATGTTAGTGATACTGGAGATGTCTTGTACTATCAAACTGACCCTAAGCTTACCACTTCTCAAAATAGGTGATTTTTTTTTTTTTTTTTTTTTTTTTTTTTGATTGGATGACGAATAGTTATTTCAAGCAACATTTTTTTTCTTATGAAAAAGAGATTGATTCAACGCTTAAATTAGGACAGCTCGAATAGGGTTTATGGGATGAGTCTGTTCGGTTACTTTATTTTATTATTTAGTATATTATTATTTTTATATGTAATATTTAGTTTGGCTTTGGTGGAAGGAAAATAGAAAGCAAATGATATATTAATGTTGTGTGTTGTAATGAGCTGTATGTTCTTTGGTGTAAATATGTTTAAATGAGAAAAAAAAAACTTTAAAAACGTTTTTTGAGGTATAAAATATATAATTAAGTTTTTTATATGTATTTATTATATTGATACCTATTTTTTACATGTTTTGGTATAAATATGTTTATATGTATTTATTATATTTAAGAAATAATATATTTATTTTCATTTTTAATAAAATAATAATGTTAAGATAAAATTGCAATAATGGCTCTTTGTGTTATGTCAAAACTTGTATGTTTGTGCTAAAAATATTTGGACTAACATTAGTTGTTCAAAAATTATATTTTCTTCCATGTTTGGTTCAATTTGATTTTTCTCTCTTTCTCTCTCTTACCGTAAAACATAAATAGTTTTTAGATGTATCTCGCCTCGAGCCAACATATTGTGTTGTTGTAGCTGACACCCTAATCAGAGCCTCTCAGGAGTCGCCACTCTCATCAAACCATTCATGTCTCGCTGAAAAAAAACTAGCTGATGTTTTCGTTGGAGGAGCAAGGGTTTTAGATCTCTCTCTCTCTCTCTCTCTCTCTCTCTCTTAATTTGTCGAAGACAATGTATATCTCTCTCGAAAACCCCTAGATCTCAGCCCACCATAATCGGACCTCCATCGAAAACGATAGCAACCATAATCGGACCTCCGGCAAAAACCATAGGGATAAATTTGTCTAATAATAATAATAATAATAAGAAAATGAAATAATAGTTTTTTTGTAGAAAAGTTCTAAAAATTTGGGTCGGTTAACGATATAGTTTCAAGTTAATTTGTTATCGGTTAGAACTAAAATCAAAATGCAACATTTTATCGGTTTTTAAGATTTTTGTAAAAAAAATGAGATTAAAACATAAACTTGATCAAAACTTTTGGATTTTACTCAAGATATCACACACACACACACGCACGCACGCGCGCGCGCACACACACACACACACACATATATATATATATATATATATATATATATATATATATATATATATAGGATATAGATCCGGTAAAAAAATTTTTTTGGTAGGAAGGTAAGAAGTTTTTTTTCTACATATTTTTTTGATGAACAAAATAAATGAATCACTAGATGATTCATTTGTAAGATGATTCACAAGAAAAAATTCCCAAAAAAACATCTTTATGATTCATTTTTAAGTAAATTAAGAAAAAATTCATTTTTATGATAATTTTAGTGAATAATAACAAAATCATTATATAAATGAATCATCGAGATGTTTTTTTGATAATTTTTTCTTGTGAATCATCTTACAAATGAATCATCTAATGATTCATTTTGTTTGTTCGCGAAAAAAATATGTAGAAAAAAAACTTCTTACCTTCCTACCAAAAATTTCCTTCTTATTTGATCTTGACTCTCTCTCTCTCTCTCTCTCTATATATATATATATATATATATATATATATATATATATATATATATATATATATATATATATATATATATATATATATATATATATATATATTACAATCCCACCTAAACCTTTAAATTTATGCATTTTTATCTTAGTAAATATAACTCGTTCAATTTTCACTAAGTAAATATATAATTTCCTATTGTATTTCTTTCCTCTGTTATCATTTAACATCCCTATTTTCTTTTCTCCATTATCGTTTATTACTTACGTCAGAGAACATTACTGTTTTCCACAATCATGAAGGTCAACGATAATTAACATTTTTGTTTCCCTATCAAAATTATTACTTCAATATTGAATCTGCAACGTCAAGTATTCATCATGACCCCCTAATTGCAATCTTTAGTTAATAAAATGACATAGTTTCATGAGGTTTAGTGTGTGTGTATATATATATATATATATATATATATATATATATATATATATATATATATATATATATATATATAACAAAATAGAAAAATCGTCTTTACAAAAAATTTCAAACTAAATTGGATCAAATTCACAAGAAAAATTAACTCTTGGACTACTGGTGTTAGTCCAAATGTTTTAGGCTTAAACATGCAGGTTTTGATATACCATAGAACCCATTCTTGTAATTTTATATAATATTAAAAATAATAATATAAGAAAATGAAAATAATTATATTTTTTTTGCAGAAATGTCCTAAAATTTTAGATCGGATAAAAAAATAGTATCAAATTAATTTGTTATCGGTTATAAATGGGAGAAAATAATCAGAATGAAACATTTTATTGGTACGTTAAGAAACAATTTAAGAGAGCAATAGATGAGGGGACGCATCATATACAGCTAAGTTCTTGTCAAAACAGCCTAATTCAAACGAAAAGATCCCATACACAAAAAAATCAATAAGAGATTATGTTTTAATAATTTATGATTAAAACTATATTATACTCTATTTTCATTGTATTGTGTTATATTCGATTATAACTGTACTTGATTATTTATTTGTGACTATAAAATAAAAGTTAATTATTTTACTTCAATTTTTGTTTGTAACGTATTTATTTATGATTATAGGACGGTAATAAATCACCACATTATAATTTTTTATTGTGTTATTCATTTATAATATAGTTTTTTGAATATATTTCGACCCACAAGAAAAAGGTCGATTATAGTCGTGCATTAATATAAGACTTCGTTTTAAAGTGATTTCACTATTTATAAATATAGTTGTATCATTTATGAATACAAATCAATAAACATAAACAATTATCTATTTTTCGGTGGTTATAATTATATATGTTTAATAAATTATTTTAATGCATTTATGAATGAACCCATATGACCCAGACGATACAAGAAAAAACTTTAGGTTCTTTTGTTTTTAGGAACAAATGATATAGTTACACTTATCACTCAATAAATAACACAAAATCATATGACATGTACGTTTATCATCTCAAATGATAAAAGATTGCACAATTCACACACGTGTAACACCGATGACCTACAGAAATAAAGTTAACTTGGTAAAAGTTCAACATTGGCTACACCACACTACTTATAAGAAATCATCTCAACTGCTACATATTTATTTCTAATTAAACAACCACATTTAGTTAATAATGTAAACAAAATTAAAAAATAAAAATAAAATAGAAAGAATACAAAGAGTATTCTCTCATGCTTATCACTCTAACCAACTAACAAATTCAAATCACATCACGGAAACCAAAATTCAGGAAACACAAACCACAGTATAAATCAAAGTGCATAGACAAAATTGCAAAAATAATCTATGTAGTACGCGTTTTTTCCGTGGTTAAGTTTAAACCTCAACTTTTTTAGATTCATGATCAATTTGAGTTAGTTTCGTTGAGGATTTGTTCATTCAGTAAACTGAAATGACTTTAATACATATTGGGGTATTTATTATTCTTATTTTTTAATTTTCTTAAATCCAATACTTATTTATTTATTTAAATAATCTCTCTCTCTTTCTCTCTGCACACACCCGAGAGAGAGAGAGAGAGAGAGAGAGAGCAAACCCACTTCCATAGTTAAGCATTTATACATAACATAGCTCAAAACTGTCGGCAAGGGTGAATTTTGTTGTTGTAGACTATAAAGACATGAAACTTTCCTTGAGATGAGATGGCACTCGTCTTGAAATTAGGACACATGGATGAACAAGAAAGATGAAATTAGGACGCAAACTTTCCATATATCGAAGCTGCATAGGGTGAGGTCTATCAGTTTAAGAGAAAAAAAAAACGGGTATAACAGGTGTTAGGGCTCTTCACTATTTGGATAAAGCGGAATTGTCCAATTGGACAATTTACCATGGACTATTTAATCCGGATTTTGGATTGGTTTTCGTCAAAACCAAATTATTATTTTGGATTAGATTAGATTTGAATTTAGTTGCAACTATTTAGATCAATGTTTACCAAACCAAATTCACTTAATAACAGGTGTTACTCTTTCAATTTCAACGTTCCCCGATAAAATTTATGCTACAATTCAATTCCGAAAGTATTCAAATATAAAATCAAACTTGAGATATAATAATGCTATGTTTGACGTACTAACTAAAAAATTAGTTTTTAGTTAAAAAACTAACTGATAGCTGAAAAGTTAGCTGTTAAATAAAAAATTAGCCAATAGCTGAAAAGCTAGCTGATAAAAAATAACGTTTGGTAAAACTAGCTGAAATATATAAAATTACATAAAAAAACATTTAAGAGAATGCGCTTCTATAATTAATAGCCTGTATGTTTTTTGATATGTGTTTGATAGTTAAATGAGTAATAACAATAACAAGCATCTTACCAATAGATTTGTAGAAATTTCCAAAAGATCTTAAGAATGACCTTACAGATCCCTAGTATATATATATATATATATATATAAAAGAAATAACCAAAAAAACTAATGCCATATTAGATAGAAGTGCATGTAGACACAAGGAGTCAACCTGTCAAGAAAGCTTGTCAGGGTTTCTCATTTTTGATAAGAAATAACCAAAAAATTTACCTAATAAAAAACCTTAATTTGTATAAATTCTTAAAACTTTTTTTATTTATAAAATGTTAAATTATAATATATTTTTAGTAGTTGTTTATAAATGTTAAACCACACTAAATAATTTGTTTTTGTTTTCTATAAAATTAGATAATTTTCTAATTATATGTAGTTATAAATTGTTTCGGGTTTTAAAAACTGATCAAACTTAATTATAATTTGGTTGGATCAGATTTCAATTTAATTTGGATTATTTGGATTTATGATTTGAAAACCAAAATCAATTAGGATTCACTTAATTGGATCGGATCAAACCGATCCATCCAAACGAATACCTCTAATTACCTTAAAGCTTTAATGTGGTCTTCATTTCACTTGGTTAAT